AGAATGGATCTGTGACCCATTTTTGAACAAGCCAGGTGAATCAACTTTATCTGTGCTAGAGGAGGATCAACTGCTTGAGATCGCAAATGACGGTGGCCTTAAAAGTATGTTTGAGACAACTGCAAATCTCCATACTTTCTGGATCAAAGTAAAGACAGAATATCCTGGAATTGCCACAAAAGCACTGAAAAGCTTGCTTCCATTTCCAACATCCTTGTGTTGTGAAGCAGGGTTTTCTGCTATGACTGCAACAAAAACTAAATTACACAATAGACTGGACCATGACAACAGAGTTGGCACAAAGCCCAGAACTGCCAGAGGCCCAGGTAGTATGTTTCCTCATAAAATCAGACCAGGCATTGCTGGAACACTCAGGGGTGTGGATTTGTATCAATACCATCAAGGACATTAGATCTGATCCAGTAACTTTACCAATGGCTGGCGTAAAAATAAATTATCAGGAATGGGTTGGAGAATGGAAAGTTGCTATATATGATCAGATTCCAGCTCATTTGATTGGTTTATATTTCTCCAAACATTTGCATAGTGCTTATATGGTAATGAGCCCCCAAGGCAAGCGTTTTCAGTCTCTGAAACCAACCTAGAATGTCCCAGCTTAGAGGAAAACCCTGATACAGCAGAAATTGCTGAAGTGGTATTGAAAAATCCTAATACCTTTTATTAGAGAACAAAAGGAAGATACCACCCTGATTCTGTGTTTTGAAAAGGCCAAGGAATCTCCCTTCCCATTATCTCCTGAACACCCAGAGAGGTTTATAGTTGATAAAAACCTGATATATAGGGAGGTTTTATTAGCACCTCACAGGAGTGATGGACATCTCAAACAATTATTTGTCCCCATAAAATACAGGGAGAAGATCTTAAAGAAAGTTCATAAAGATGTGTTTGGAGCACATATGGGTGTCTCCCTCATGAAACAAAGGGTTGCACAAATTTTATTGGCCAGGAATGGGTCAGCAAATTAGGCAGTATTGTCAGAGTGTGATATGTGCCAAAGGAGAGGAGAAATGACGAAACTAAAGCTAAGCTGTACCCATTACCTGTTATTTCAACCCCATTTCAATGTTTAGGTTTGGATCTGGTGGGACCCAGATGGGGGAACAAGTACATTCTATCCATTATTGATTTTGCCACTAGATACCCCAAAGCTAGGTACCCTCCTGCCAACCTGGCAGTTTGAAAGCATGTAAATGCGAGTAGATAAATAGGTACCACCACAGTGTGAAGGTAACAACATTCCGTGTCTGGTCGCGCTGGCCATGTGACCATGGAAATTGTCTATGGACAAAACACTGGCTCTATGGCTTGGAGACAGGGATGAGTACCGTGCCCTAGAGTTGGACACAACTGGATTAAATGTCAAGGGGAATCTTTACCTTTACCTGACTCCAAAGCAGTATCCTTGCGTAACATTAAGACTGAGACACTGGCAGACACTTTGGTCAGTTACATGTGTGGAATGAGATTTGCATCTGAAAGTCACTGATCTAGGAAACTCCTTTACATCTAAATTAATGAAGAGGCTGTGGCAAGTCTGTAACCTCATCCCCTTACCATCCATAAATGAATGGACTAATACAAAAGTTCAATGGAACTTTCATGAGGATGATATGAGCATATGTGGCAGAAAAGCCTAATGATTGTGACAACAAATTACAATCTCTACTCTATGCATATAGATGTTCCACAAGAAAGCACCAGATTCAGTCCCTTTGAGCTTTTTGGCAGAAAAGAATGTGGGCCCCTAGACCTGTTATCACAGAACTGGGAACATTATAAAGAAATTGATGCTGACTCTGTGGTAGTCTATTTGGACAATTTGATGAATACCTTACAAAGATTCCTAGAAATAGCAGAAGAGAATTTGAAAGATGACCAAAATACAGTGGTGCCTCGCTTAACTGGCACCCCGTTTAATGACAAAATCGCATAGCGATTAAGACTTTGCGATCGCAAAAGCGATTGCATTACGAGGTTTTAAATAGGGGAAAATTGCTTTGCGATGATCGGTACCCTGTTTCGCTTACCGATTATCGCAAAGGCATTTTTTAACAGCTGATTGGTGGTTCCAAAATGGCCACCGGGTTAAAACATTATTGTTGTTGTTGTTGTTGTTGTTGTTATTTATTTGATTTATATCCTGCTCATCTGGTCAGACTGACCACTCTGAGCGGCTTCCATAAAAAATATACAATAAAGCATAAAAATTATTACAAGTAAATAACACCACATATAATAAAACAGATAGAAAGAGAAAGAAAATTAAGTACTGGCACCTGATGTGTTTTTGCGCAGATTCCTCGCTTACTGGGCAGCGAAAATGGCCGCCGTATGGAGGATTTTCCCTTTAAGGTGAGTTTTAAGCCCATAAGAATGCATTAAACGGGTTTTAATGCATTACTATGGGCTTTTAAAAATCGCATAGCGATGAAATCGCTTTGCAGTGATTTTTGCTGCACGGATTATCTTCGCTATGCGAGGCACTACTGTAAACAGAAAACTTGGTATGACAGAAACACTAGAGAAAGAACATTCAATCCTGGAGAGGAAGTACTAATGTTAAGACCCCTGAAAGGGAATAAGCTTCAGTTAGCTTGGGAAGGAACGTACACCATCATCTCCAAAATTAATTAATTATTATATTATAATTAATTATTATATTCTCCAAAGAGAAGAGGAGAATCGTAAAGTAGCCCATGTAAATTAGATAAAACCATATTACCTAAAAGAAAACAGGGTTTTATTTACTGTGAAGGAAAACACAGGAGATAAACAAAAATTAATATGCTGGGAAGGCAGAGGGGAGTCTAAAAATAACCTCAAGGACATGGTCCTTAGCCCTGCTCTAACCCAAGAACAAAAAAAAGTTCACTCTTTTATAAAAATATAAGGCACTGGTTCTTAACCTTGGGTTACTCAGGAGTTTTGGACTGCAACTCCCAGAAGCCTTCACCACCAGCTGTGCTGACTGGGGTTTCTGGGAGTTGCAGTTCAAAAGCATCTGAGTAACCAAGGTCCCTATGTGGATAAAATCTGCACAGAACTAAATGAGATGCTGAAAGCCAATATAATCACCCCAACCATGAGACCTTGAGCTGCGCCTATAGTTCTTGTAGATAAGCCTGATGGGAGTGTCAGGTTCTGTGTGGACTATAGGAAATTAAACCATATTACCAAAGTTGATGCCTGTCCTATGCCTTGCTTGGATGACCTGATTAAAACCATAGGTCAGGGGTCAGGGACCTTTTTTACCTTTTACCCGCCCCCCAATTTTTTATATATGCTGACATTACCCCCTTGATTTGAAAAGAAGGAAACCATACATTATTTGAATTCAAAATATTATTGAATCTACACAGACCGTGTACCGAACTAGCAGGATATATCATCAGTATCAATGGCTGCCAGGCTATGTACTTAACTAGCAGAATGCACCAAATTTAATAAAGATCTGCACTATTTTTGCTGGAACACATTGCACTACAGCCATGGGGTGGTATAGGAAGTAGTAAGGTGTCCAACGTTCCTAGGAAGCTGCATTAATGTATTCGCAAAGGCTTTAACGGCCGGGATCTAATGGTTGTTGTGGGTTTTTTGGGCTTCTTCGCTGTGTTCTGAAGGTGGTTCTTCCTAATGTTTCGCTAGTCTCTGTGGCCGGCATATTCAGAGGACAGTTTACTTTTCCATCTCCTTGGAAAAGACCTTGATGTTAGGAAAGTGTGAAGGCAAGAGAAGGGGAGGACAGAGGATGAGATGATTGGACAGTGTCATCAAAGCAACCAACATGAATTTGACACAACTTTGGGAGGCAGTGGAAGATAGGAGAGTCTGGCATGCTCTGGTCCATGGGGTCACGAAGAGTCAGACACAACTAAATGACTAAACAACAACAACAATGTCGTTATTGGAAGAGAATCAACAGGTTAGGAAGCAGAGATGGCCAGGGAAGTAAGTACTGAGTTAATATAACTGTAGAGCCAGAAGGGAAGTGAACTCCCAAACTTTGGCTCCAGTGTGTAGTAAACCAATGTGTATTAAAAAGGAAAAAATAATAATAAAATACCTCTGCGGGAATAAAAGCAAAATATTTATACAATGATATGGAGTAGGTATTTGGCACCAGGAAAAATTAAATATTATGGATTCTAAATGCTGTATATTGTCTTGGAGATGTGGTCACATTATAGTTACTTATTTTCAAATATAATGAGAGTGGGAACCAACTTTGACATTTTGGAAGACAGTATTTGAAGAAAATGAAAACTTAATGCAACTTGCCCCCAAAGTTGCACTCTTAAGAGGATGAGCAGTGGGCTTGGATAAAAAAGGAGTTAATGAAAAAGTTTGTGACGGTTGCCAGATTAGTGATTGCAAAAAACTGGAACTGTGAGTGTGGACCATCAGGTTTGCCCTTCTCAGTGGTATCCCTCACTTCACCTCCCGTGAGACGCAGAATGGAAGACTGGACCATATCCAACTGTTTCTGTTTCTCCAGGGGCTCTGCCTCCCATCAAGTAGCAAAACACCTTGGTTTCCATCTATGAAGTGTCGAAGAAGAGCCCCTGAAGCAGGATCAGACCCCAAGCCCAATCTGATCCAGCAGGCGGAGTACAATCTGAGCCGGTCGATGGGAGCTGATTGTGAGAGAAACCCAGAAGGATGATGGCCCCTCTGCTCCTTCTTCCTGATTTATTTGGCCAACTGCCACCTCAGAGGCACTCGGGGGAAAAAGGCCCAGGAGGCCCCTCTCCCGTCAGGACAGCTTCCCCTGAAAGGAGACGCCACATCCTGGATCGGAGCACAGCCAAGACTTTCAAGGACATTCCGTGAAACACAAACGTCCCTTCCCAAGATAACACCCTTGTTGCTGAACGAGAAGTCCGGGAGCTGAAAGATGTCTGGAAGTCTCTCTGTTTCTCTTTCAGAATTACGTTTCCAGATTCTCAACAAAAACACAGCCATGATCAGAGCCTTCTTACCTGCTCTCTTCAGTATCTCTTTAGAAGGTCTGCCGTCAAGGGCTGCAGGTTTCCCACTCCACCCCAAAGAAGAGATGATCGGGGTTAGGCCTTTGATGCCACCGCGATGCCTACGGAGGAAAAAACAGAGGGCTTGAACGGTGACATTGTCATGCTTTGACATCCCTCCCCATTGAACACAAGGAAGGGAGAAGAACCTGATACGTGATACCTTTTCTGAAGACATTGATATATTTTCTACACATCTGGGCTTCAGAATGTTTTTATCAAAAATAAAAGGAAAATGAGTTATCCCATTCTTTGAGGGTAGGGTGCACATATGGGCCACTTATTTACTTTCCTCCTTTACTACCCCCACTTTTCCAGTGGGGGTAGCAGGGTGTTTTAGTTCTATTCATTTTTTTTTTACATCAATAACTACAAATGCCCAGAAATCCCTTTCAAGATGAACTTACTTTCAGGAAACTAAATGTAGGATTGCAACCTAAAGATGGAGTCCTTCCCTAGTTACACTAAAAGCAGATCAAACAAGTATGAAGGGAGCGTGTTTCTTCATTTTATTTATTTCAACGGGTCTGATCCAAGCCCTATTAAACAAAGCAGCAACAGCAACAGAAGAAGAAAGCAGAATACCGGCCAGGGGCAAAGTGAAGGAGTATTTTTAATTCACCAGCTATTTCTTGGATCATCTGTTAGAGGGAGGCACCAAGGTGTGCTGAACAATGACATTCACAAATGCTCAGAGTCTTGGATGCTTGAAACCAACAACAAAAGTTAAGTTGTGCTTTATTTCCCCTCTTTCCATAATAGTCTCATCGTCCCCTACGGCAGTGGGGCGGTGATTCATCCAACACCCTCAAACACCAACACTTTGCACATCTTCAAAAAAAGAAGTGTGGTGTTGTGGATGGAGCACCAGACTGGAAACCAAGAGAGCTGGATTCAAATCCCTGCTGGGCCGGGGAATCTGAGAGGTGAGTGTGTGTGGCAAGGCTACTTAAACCACCTCATGAAATCTCACTTACCTTGCAAATGTTGGAAGGATATGGGGTTTGGTTCTTCGGTTTTGGTCCCCAAAACAGCAAAGACAACTCAGTTCAGTCTCACCCCTTCCTAGGAGAAAAGCACAATACTACACTACAAATGGAAAACAAAATCAACACCAGAGCCCGTGTAATATACTGGACTGAAGGTTGGACTAGATCTTGGGGGACCTGGGTTCAAGTCCCTACAGTCATGGAAGCTGATTTGAAGGTTGGGAAGAAGGGTGAACCCCTCCTTGAGCAGCTCACATAACTCAAGGACCCTCTTATGTGGGGTGACATAGTGTCCTTTGTAAAGTGTGCAGGGTTGGGACCTGGGTTCAAAAGTCCTCTCAACCAAGGAAACTCATGGGGGTGGGTTTGCAATGGTGAACATCTCCATCATCATCTCACTTCTCTCACGGATCTCTCTTAGGATCCCCATGGGTCAGAAGCAACCTCACAGCACAGGAAATGTCCCTTTTATCCTCCCATCGAAGGAGAAGGTGGGAACAGAAATGACGTTACCTGTTCATCAATTATCATCAGAGTCCGAAGTAAAGTTGGATGATGCAAAGCAAAATCCCCCAGTCTGGCTTGTCTGTTAAGGGGGAAGAAGAAGGGAGCCTTGAAGGGGAAACCCCCACAAACCCCAAATCAAGATGACCAAGGTTTGCCTCTTATCAAGAGGTTTGGGGTGAAAAAACATAAATAAAATGCAAAGAAAACCATACCATCAAAAAGGAACACTTTGCACATGTTCAAAGAGGAAGTGTGGTATCGTGCACTGCAGGACTCTCCACTTTGTGCTCCTTTATTCCATCTGCTCTGTTTCGCCTTTATTACCTCACATTTCTCT